ACACGGCCGCCAGCCTCAGGCGGTTCCCCCTACGACCCCGCTTCCAACCGTCGACCACCATCATTACCATGGCTGTTTCCATAGTACTACTTGATTCTGAAACCACTCGACATGCTCCAACTCCGACCGCCTTGCCTCTAGAACAGCTGTCGATCAGAGAGGGGGGGTGAGGGGGAGATTCCTGAAGAAGAAACCTTACACTAACCGATACGTTCAATGACATCAAATTTTTCTTCTATCAGGAGTCGATGGTTTTTCACAAAGGGGAGTGGACTGCTGCCCACGCATTATGCATCCGTTGGACAAACATATCGAAAACTGAAGAAAGAAATGAAGTCGACCCCCTCCCCCCTCTCTGATCGACAGCTGTTCTAGAGGCAAGGCGGTCGGAGTTGGAGCATGTCGAGTGGTTTCAGAATCAAGTAGTACCTATGGAAACAGCCATGGTAATGATGGTGGTCGACGGTTGGAAGCGGGGTCGTAGGGGGAACCGCCTGAGGCTGGCGGCCGTGTAGGGGGTTATATAAAAAAGCTTATGAAAAAATGCGAAGGCGACGGTTGGTTCTGCCTTTTTGACTTGTACAGTAGTTGTCGAGCATTGAATACGTAAATTATAAGTGGTTACCGTCGAACTAACCAGGAAGTTCTGCCCAGTGTTTGCTCTACCAAAGCACATTACGTGTGTGTGTGTTTAACATATCAGCACATATTTTGAAAACGCATTAATTTTTTTTGTTCGGTAAGGGACAGGAATTCCCAATGGTGACACAGTAGTTTTTCAAAAATTCGTAAAGATAAGCGCACACAACAGGCCATTACGTCATTATCACTATCTGCATTTGTCTCATGTCGAAGGCACAAACAAGCGTTTAGTGCAGCTCGATGAACGATCACCACAATTTTTAAGAAATGTTTCGAGTTTTGCTAAAAAAGAAAGGCACGCTGTTTTTTGCGAAGTGCAAAAATGTGAAATGTAGATAGTGCTGTCCCTGCGATCATGTGAATAGGGCTGTAGCTTAGGTTTCGGAAGACGATTCATCCCTGCAATATTACTAAGTTACCAAATGAACTCGTATGCCGTGCACAGTTCGCTTACTACTTCTGCTTTCGGTTACAAGTTGAAGTCTCGAATTTTCTGCATTTAGAGTTAACTGCTACGTAGCATAGGAGCGCGCTCCTTGCCATTTCGAGCCAAAGTTCTGCATTTTGAATTTTCGTGCCATTCACCTGCTTGCCCAACAATCCTCGAGCGCGCCACACCCTTTTTGTATATAAAATCAGCTTCCGCCACTTTCTTCACTTTTGGGCGCAGCCGAGTTTATAGTGCCCGCAAACTGTGCGGGTAAATTTGAAAACGCACTCGTGCCCGCGAACTGGTGGAGCGTTTTCAAATTGACCCAGACAGTTCGTGGGCACTATCGACTTAGCCACGGCCGCGTTCAAAATTGTGAAGAAAGGGGAAAGCCATAAAATCACACAGTCAATCATTGCGCATGAGATGATTTAAAGGATTCAAACGGTAGTAAAAGCATTTCACACTGTGACATCGGTGCTATGAATTCCGGTTGGGCCGCCGGTCGATGGCGCCGATTTTCTGCTTGTCTGCGCCCCCTCACCGAGTCGGAGGCAACTTAATTAATCAGTGCGATGCGAATTATAGTAATGTGATCAATACAGTGGCAGAGTGATAGGCGAGTCAGTTGTTGATGTGAGTGAAAAATGCTAGGTCACCACTCTCTTGATGGGAGGAAGCAGACGAGCGAGGAATTAGTGCCGGATTTTCCATGATTTTGTTCCAGTTTGAATTTCGGATGCTCTGACAAAATATGAAGGCAATAAGGTCCCACATATGCTTTTTGTACCGACCGGGGTTGTCATAACTGCAGACTCAGTATCACATGTGGTGTTCCTTCGAAAAAAGATATCACATGCGATTTTTGATGCCTTCATCCTATCTGCTGTCTTGTGTTTTACTTGTCTGCAATTACGACAGGCTCGGCTGCGGGAAACAGAGTGGAGTAGCAGTGCGATGCCCCTCAACGTCATTCTTATTATGGCTTTTGATGTCGAGAGAAAGATTTCTACGATTTCTACACATGGTACAACCCCATGTTTTCCCATCGCGTCGCAAGTGCGTCACGCTATCTCCCGCCTCTTGTTCATACTTGTTAGAGATGAAATTTCCCACTCCATCCTTCTGTGAACTTCGGTCTCAATAAGTGATCTTAATCTTCATATGCTTAGGTTCCTTTCTTTTTTCCTTTTTCTTTTTCCTTTCCTCCCTTTCAAAAGGTGCTCATTTTTATTTTTTACCGCTTGTTTGATATGAATGTGTGCTTTGCAGATGTGGTTATCACAGAAAGCGGTCCGTCGTCATTCGAAATCAAAGAAAAAGTCGAATTTGTAAGTGTGATGGTATCAGGGTGTGGAGCCTTCTTCCTTGTTGGAGTTCCCTTCGCATTAGTCGGATAACAACGGCCGCCGGAACGGCTGTTACCGTAATCCGCCGCCGCAACAAATCGATGCCACGTGGCATTCATGCCTCTTTTGTCGTTTTTCTGCGCACTCCACGACGACAGTGTGGACGATACGGAGCCCGTCCATTGTACGGAGCACCTGAGCTGTAGAAGGGTGAATGTGGCAGCGTGTCGAACTGGCCGGAGCGCGCTTCGCCGGCATGTTGGAGTTAACCTCCCTTGCCTTGCGCGCGAAGCGCGCGCAGCGTTCGCCTCGCCGCGAGGCATGTGCTGCATGTATTTTTGGATAGTCACCCGCGGTAAGGGTGGCTTTGGTGACAAGACGGTTATCGCAGTCCGTGGAGTGAGCGTTCAATCCATCTAATTCGTTGAAAGGGCGCGGCCACAGGTTACGGTAGCAGTCGTTCCGCGGCCTTTATTATCTGTCTTGTTCCCTTGGCGGGGAGTGTGACGTCGTGCGTCACGGATGCATCACTGCCTGCATGGGATTGCGATCGCATTCATGTGCATACGTGTGCATACGCGTGCATGCGCGCAATCGCGTTCACGACGGCTGCATTTTTGCGGAGAAATTCGAATAATGAAGAAGAAGTGGTCCACATATTCTCTAATAGTAACATGTAATGCAGTTGTTGATATAATGCTAATCCGCTTTAGGGCAAAATGGCGTCAATGTTTATGGGTCGCATTGGAGTGATATTCTGTTATCTAGCATTAAGTATCTACCTCTGGGGAGATATCGCCATATACACTGTGACGGTCCCCAAATCTCTTATGAATGTCATATGGTGAGAGAATTGTCTTATGGTATTGTTACTTTTCTCTTTTTTATTGTTCCTCATCAATAAAAGGGGGAGGTGGTACGGCGTCGCGGCGCGGCGCAATGCTCTCTCTCAGCGACACAGTGTAAACTCGCATGTTCGCGCACGAGACTACACCCCCCCCTCTCGGTCAGCGGACTACTTGCGGTCCCTTAAGCCGCCTCAACTCTCGTCTGCGCTCTCTCACCTTATCAGCGGCTCATGACCACTGTGATCTCACACATTCAAACTTTTGCCACACTGTAGTTGGCTCACCCACCTCGGAGTCCCTCCCCTCCCTCCCCCCCTACAAGGCTTAGTCCTAGGCTCTCACCTTCCTGGGATTTGGAGCCGAGCCAGGCGCCGTTCTCTAATCGTCTGTGCTCTCCGCCATTCGTGGCAGGACCATGGAGGAAAGTTCAAGTAGTCCCTAAACGCCCTCCCCCCTTCTGCCCTCTCCCCTTGGACTGGATAATTTTTTATGGCACACGGGTTTCTCGTTTTCACCAATGTTACCACCATTTCGGCGAACTGAAGCCAAAAGCAGCAGTTAATAAATCAAAAAATATCACTACTCGCTGAGAGAGCGCAGACGAGCACCGCGCTGCGGTCTGCCCCCCCCCCCAACTACAGTTTATCACCCTCTTTCATAATTTCATATTTCAGTGCTCCTATCAACACATCTATTGTAAGGCCAACGGATCCATGTCGAGAAAATTGGCCGGAGTTTTTTCAACGTTTCACAGGTACAAACACTACGCGTTCTGTGGGACTGTATAAATAGTCGCTCTAACTGTAAATGCTCGAACTGTAAATGGTAGTGGAGCATTTAAGTGCGAGTCTCTGTTGTGGGGCATAGGTCACAGGCGGTTTTTGTGAGTGCACATCTAGAGAGCGCTTGTGTTTGAAGAGTTGCTCAGGTCTTCAAAGCATCTGTCAAGCACGCATCACGTGGTCCCGGACCATATTCTGCAGCAGGCAATCTGATAAATGTGACCAGAAGTGCCCCTAAAAGCGATTAATCAATTTTTTTTCAGTTTATCGACTTTGTATAGTTGTCTTTATAATGGTATGCACACCAATGGTTATCATTGGTATAACAAAAACAAAATACTTACAGCTAACAACGTCAGTTTGCAGATGGACTGGTAAGTGCCATATTTTCACGTAGCTGAGTTAATAATCTGAATTGGTAAAATTACTTATCGCACACTTTGTTTCTTGTTACCCGGAATATCGGATATGCCGGCAAGCCTCGTAGCAATATACGGCATCAGATAGCATTAAGGCCACCTGGAGCGGAGATATCCATCCACACGCACCTTTGATACTAACCATAAGACTGGTGTCAGAGTCCGCGACCAGTCGCGCGAATCGCGCGACGGATCGCAAAAATCGCAAGTGCCCCATTTGAACATTTGAAACACTGAATATGAAACAAGTAGAATCATGAACAGTCGTCATTCAACCATCACCATCAAGCAGAAATGGCGGCGGGATTGGAGAGCACCTCGCAGTATTGATCGGGGCACTTGTGATTTTTGTGGTCCGTCGCGCGATTCGCACGATTCGCGCGACTGTCGCAGACTCTGACACCAGCCTGAGTGACGACGCCTCATGTGATGAGAAGTGAGGTCTAGCGAAGAAAGGGTGAAGCTATATTGTCGCCGTATCACTTCAGGATGGAAGAGGGGCGTTTTCTCCCAAAACGGAGCCTCAGAAGGGCTCCATGTGGCCCGTAGCAAGCGGTGATGCACTTCTGGGGCTGGGTTCTCGAGAAGTAACGCTCCTCATTCTTTTAAACGCATCTCTCATTTCGAATTGACACTTCATCCGGGGGCAATTTGCGGGATTTCTGGACGAAACGGAGCTCTTAAGCGAGAAATATTTAGTGAAACACAGGCGCAAAGCATGTACCCACTTGGCGCCACGGCTTAACAAAGCTGCATCTTTGAGGCTCAAAGATTCACTGTATGCCCCACCCACCACCATATAGCACGCCCACAAGTCAGCGCTATTTTGCTTTGCCCCTACTAGACAGGGGGCTTTATTTTGATCCTTGCCGACGGTGTTTCCCGTCTTTCTCAGTACTGACATTACACGTCACAATTCAACTCCAAGTCACAGGGTCGTTCTGGGGTCAAGCTGATGTTCGGGATCGAACTAATGCGCAATAACATATCAGTTTGATCCCGGACTTTGCCTCCAAATGCATGATTGTTATGGGATTGCGGTGGGGGGGGGGGGGGGCAGGACACAGGGCAGTTCTTTTTTTCTGAAAGTTCTGTCCGCTTTCAACTGCACAGGATGGATGGAAAGCATAGTTGGTTCGCTTCTCATCTTGTGAACGTGATGCCGCTTTGCCCCCTGGATATCTCTCTGAATCTGCCTATTTAGTGATCACATTTATTGGAAGAGCCAGCTCAACCGATGCGAAGGCACTACGCAGCTGCTCGGCTGGAACCATATGTGGATTCTGAGCACACCTTCTGGAACCATTCGTTCGAGTTCCCTGTGCAAAAATCATTGTATAGTCAGAAGTACAAAAAAACTGGCCTGTAATTGAATGAGTGACATTGCATCGTGTTATCACGGACGCCAATCAGTTTTTTCTGGGAGATTAGGCTCTACGACTCACTCAACGACAATGAGTGGCACGCCAAATAGTCACAACATTGAAGCATCACTGTTGCGACGAACTGCTGACTGCAAGATTTGCAGACGAGGTGTACACGTGGCGAAGGAAGCCAGAGACATTTTAAGCCTTGAAAACAACCGGACCTACGCCTCCACCAGGCTACCGTACTCGCTGATAGAATTGCTGAGTTTATCTAGTCGTGGACAGGGTGAAGATTGGTCGAGGATTGGTCGATGTCGTCGTCTGTGCGCGTACTTCACTCGCGACACTTCTTAGACGATATAGAGTCACGATGGGGTTTACTTTTAACCCCTTACCCCGTGGTTGCCTCTCGGAATGAACAGCGACTCCTTCAAATCCTTACCCCATGTTACGATTTCTTATGCAGTTATTCTTTTTGTGGATATTCAAAAATCGTGAAAACAGAATTGCTAGATATTTCTTCATATTGTCAAAAGGCCTCTATTTTCAGCCTTCATTCTAATGATATGCTTGGCTATTGTACAAATTGCGAACAGCGGCCCTGCAGCTAGCCCTCCTGCTGCTGATGTTCATGGATTTGGTTCACTGTTTGGTGTCGCAGTATATGCCTTCATGTGCCATCATAGTATTCCGGCCATAATTACCCCTATGAGGTGAATTTGTTATTTCTTCCTATAAAGATTGTGCGCAAAAAACAGCTCCATTGGTCTCTTTTCAGAGTAAAAACTGGTTTGTATTTCAAGCTGTCTGGCGTATACCTCCTTGTATTATCGTTTTACTTCACGCTTTCTATAACTGGTTCATTTGCGTTCCGCCACGTGCAGGTAACTTGATCGAATTATGTGTATAGGCTCTTCCTACTGTTTACTGACTCAATGAATCTTATGTCTGTCGAATATCGTGTTAGAAGTCAATAGTGACAGAGTTTGAAATACTTGAAAAACCATGCCGAGAACCTTTATTTGTATTGACGGATTTCGAGAGGAGGACTTGTTCATGAGCCGAGTGTTTCGCTAAGGCTGAAGCGACTTCTCCGCCTTAACAGCCCGCGAAACTTCTTCCGCAGCAATTAACCCCAAGGTCCACTTACTCCTCAATGGTGAACCTGGAGCTGCCAAAAGCCGAACAGAGCTTGTCGCGTCTGCGAAAAGCGGAAATCATTTCTGTTCTACGGAACTCCACCCTTGTTCATGCAGGGGCTACTTCCTAACGGAGATTCGGCCATACTATTGTGCCACCACGTGTACTGTGGTCATCAACTGACTAGTCGAGCCTATCTCTCGAAGTCTCACTTGGCCTGAGACAGCGTATAACTACACAGACTATGTGTAATTGAAGCGCTTTGTATATTGCACCTCCTTCTCCTTTCAGGGCACATTTCTATAGACCATTGGGGCAGTCACTCTGCGTAGTGTTTTCTTGGGTTTAAAGCGTTGATGTCGTGCTCCTTTGCGGTTTGGGAAGCACGCGATAAAAGCAGTAACAGATCGCTTTCCTGCAATCCACACTCTCGTCCGCAAGCCCCGCCCTCCGCTCTCGCCTGGCTGGCTGCGAGAAGAGCGCACCGCAATGGCGGAAGCGTCAATGTCACTGGCAAAGGTCGACTGCCAGCTCTTAGTAGCTACTGTAACAAACCGATTCAGTATACCAGGACTTGTCTTCAAACCACGCCCCGATTTTTTATTGTTTTTTTTTTGCTATTTGGCCGCGCTCGCAAAATCGCGCCTGCCTCATGCGGTAAAAAAGCTAAACGCGTCGTTATCCTCGTCTCACTCTTCATTTAAATTATGGGATTTCTCTGATGACGTTTCATTCCCTACAAAAAAGTTTCAAAGCAATAAGATTTAAAAAAAAGTGAAGAGATTAAATCAAGATTCTTTTATAGGATGTGTATACTTTGAATTTTCTTCACGACAACATGACTTCGGTGTTTTACTTCATATGTGATCATTTCCTTGCATTGTTTCCTGTGTTTACAATTACAACTAGTTATCCAATTTTGGCAACGACTTTAATAAATAACATACGAGTTTTACGGGATACGGTCATCCCACCCGGTTCACGGTACGTCTTTTAATCCTGTTGACCTTCATGTCTATTATATGTGAGTTAGAATATTTGTAGTAGTATATAGTATTAAATTTAGAGTATCGTCAGAAGAAGAATCATTGTTAGAAGATGATGATGATGATGAGCGTGATTCTAGGCTGAGGAGGAGTAGCCGTACTGATCAAGTAGGTTCTAGGACTGCATGTGGTTTCCGACATTGGGCAACCATTCATAGATCACTAGCGTACATTTCATGACGCGGAGATTTTTGTAAGTCATCCCGACGGTAAGTTTTTCAAGTTTTCACAAACACCTTATGTGGGTGCAAGCTTGACAAATTTAACCCGAGATGGCCTATCAGGATCACCGCTTGAATGTGGTGTGACGACACATACGCTGATTATTTATGGATGGCTATCCATATTCGGAATAAGGCGTCAGGTGTTTTTAGTCCTTCAAATGTTTCAATCCAATCAAAGGTGTTGAGTTAAAGGAGGATGTTACGATAAATTGGATGTAGAAGAAGGGAGGTATGCCCTACTACAAAATTACGCCGCGCTCGGAAGGAAGCGAGAATAGACTTGTATCGCGGTGAAAGGCGCGTTAATCGCCACGCAGCTGACCCTAACCCTGGCCAGCGCCACCTGCGTGACACGGCCCGCCCCCTAGTAAAGGACAAGCTGTGATTGGTTGCGTTGTGATGTGTTTTTGCCCTACTTCGTCTATTTGGAAGGGGCATTTTGAGATGAGCGGCCGTGTCTTTAAGTTTTCTAATGCATTATCAAGGAAAGGTATTATACTTGTTGACATAGTACCCGCTATCGTGACTAACTCGTACAAACGAGCTCGCATTGGTCGCTGGCTCGTCTGAAGCGTAAATCCGAGGGCAAAGGAGCTTCCAGTTCCTGGGTCATAAACCTTTTTCTCTGTTTTCTTGCTCAGTGCAACCCCTATCACCTCTACTTTCAGCTCCAATGGGCAACGTTTTTTTTTCGTAACATCCGCCTTTAATGGGTGTAGTGTAAGAGGCTCATCGCGCGGCGAGTGCGGCAAATACCGTGGCGCGCACGGAATTTGCAGACTGCGTGAGACGCTGTTTCCAGTCAAACTGCCTCTATTTTTGGGAGAGTTGGATAGGAAACGTGAGAGTTATGAGAACTTTTTTTTTCATTGTTTCGTCCCTTTGGTGTTACAAGCACATCATTGTGAACGCTTTGCCGACACCGAAATATCTCGGGCGAGAAATGAAAGCGTAGCCCTTGGCGCTACCACTCTTTTTAGATGAGCGTTGCTTTGAGTTTGAGTTGGTTGAACCGCGATACTAGGTGCACTTTCAATCGTCATATGATGCAGTACCCGCATGTCTACACATGGTCAACCGTCACGTTGTGTAGATTTGATCGGAAATTTCAGAACCCTCCGTGTTTTTGACGTGCCCCCTCCCACACGACCATCTCGAACTGAATTGAGATGGCCTAGTTGCAAGAACCTGCGGTTCACTTGATACACTTCCGGAAAAACCATGAAAAGCGAGCCCCAATATTGTTAGGGGTAGGGAATCCTAACATCCGAAGATTCAGTTTCTGATTCCATGCATATGCTTCGGGCCCGCGTGGAAGTGGCGTTCTCCCTAGCGCTATCCGCCCAACAACATCGAATACTGACTAACGAATACTGAATACATCTCTATTTGAGTACAACTTCAGCTGGGCCTACATAGTCCTTTTAATTGCATTTGCTGAATTCGGCTTTTGATAAATTCGTCCTAAAGAATCTCCTTATTACCTTCAGTGCTGGTTCACTTAGTTAATGTTCTGTGTTCTCTAATTTTCTTTGATGCTCGGATGTGAAATAGGATAGCGCACCTAAGCGTGCAATAAATAAATAAATAAATAAATAAAAAAATAAATAAATTTTCCAAGGGTGAAAGTGAGAGCATCTCCATTTCAGCCATGTTCTCTACTACCCACGGCCACCACTCAAAAGTGCAGGAAAAGTAACGACCCGCTAAGCGGAAAATCACAAAACCGACTGCCCTCTGAAAAATGCCGACGGACATTGACGCGTGTATACCGTGGCATGGTTCTGCCACTCAATAAAACGCTATAAGTCTGCACGAAAAGTTGAGTTAAAAGTGTAGAAGATTACTCTTGAACATCAGCAAATCTGACGTCTTCTCAGGCGGGTGGTCAGCTCTTATCTTGCCCGTCCAAAAAAAAACAGATTGAAGCAAAATCTAAATATCTCAAATATCTTATCTTTCCCCTCGAGCAACAAATTTTCCGAGTGACCTTGAATTTTAACGTTTTCACATCAACAACACTTAGAATTCTGAACAGATGAACACCCGTTTAATTTACGTCAGCTGAAGACTTCAAAACCCATATTCTGAAAACTATAGTAAATTACGTCGAGTTTTTGAATTCAACGGGACCACGAGAAAGCAGCTAGCTTTGCGGACGCCGGAAATTACGGCACGCATCATATTTACTACCCTAAGATTGTTGATGCCCAAGACTGCTACGCCGGGCCAGACAAAATAACTAGGGGTGCCCGCTGCGCTTTGTCGCCATTTCGCCGCACGGCAGGGCCACTTACGCACTTATTTATGTATTCCTTCGTTACGATAACAGAATAGCTGAGTGATAACTTCCCAGACTTACATTGTTTTTCGGCTGATCGTGTAAAAAAGCCTCACGTTCAATATGTTTCAGCGATATGACTTTATCATTCCCACGCTGGTCATAGGAGTTCCAACGCTGATAGCGCCATGTTTACGGACAACGTGTTATTACTGGCTACAATCACGGGCTCTTATCCAGGTAAACAAGTTGAAAGTCACTTAGGCAAGTCAGCAAGCCTAATAATAACCAACGTAGTAACGAACGAGATCAAGTAATGAGCTAAGATTTTCCTCGTGGACTAGTTTTCGGGAACGAGGAAAAGTAAAGACAGTTGATTGCGATGAAGTGGATGGAGTTGTGGTTTTTGATCGGAAAGTCATACCGTTCCCACTGTAAAATTAGATCCCTCGGCGCGCTGCGGGCGTGGTTGAGCCGCCTCCTATCACCCTTCTGCCAATGACGTCTAATGTCAGCAAAGCCGCATCACCTTCAAGCCATAGTGATCGCTGCCTTTAAGCAGTTAGCTTGAGCAGTGACGCTCTTCTAATTATGCACGAGTGTAAGGTCAGCCGTTTACATATGAATTTTGAGGTGTCGCAGTGCAATTTCTTATTCCGTGCTGGTTGGTGGTAACCGCTCGGAAACACGCAAAGAGCGTCCTCAATTTCCCAGTACCGAAGAAACACGCAAGTCCTTTCAAGTCCAATTACTGGGCATATGCAATAGTTCTCTATTCCGCATTTGCCATCACGATGGTCACTCTGAATATAATTGGTGTACGATTTTAGTTTGATCTTTTCACGTTGTTCTCACGTTCTCACAACTTTTTTATAGTGTACTTTAATCATATTTGTATAGTGAAATGTCAGCACTGCTATACTGCTTCTCAGGGTCGTCGTGTACGAATTTCGCGCAGGTATAAACGATCATAACTGATTCGCTGCGAAAAAAAACCATTATTGCCTTGTAGAGACATGGTACAATAGGTACTACTTTCTAATGAGAAGCAATACAGCAGCTTAAGTTTTTTTTTATTATAGTTTACAGTTTTTATTACAGTAACATATCTCTTCGAAGACTAGCATTTTCACAGCATTTTTGTGCATTCCATTTATCGCATTTATGGCCAGTAGTATTTTTTTAGTCCCAGTGAAGATTAACAATTCAGCCATAAACATAAGCATAGAGATTTACTTAAACAGGATATTCACACTGTGATACTCGTACAAATCATGAATGTAATAAATAATTGAATCTTTTTGTTTGCGTCTCAATAAAACTAACACCTCTAGCAGGTCTTCTCAACATCTACTAGTACTAGTAACAGCTAAACAACTAGAAAAAACCATTACCACCTAATCTGGAAGTCCATCGAGTTCTTCGCGATTCACATCATAATCCTTGAATTTCTCTTCCAACCGCCTCCATCTGCCCAGAACTCCAACATCATAAATATTATTGAAGAATTCGACCACTGCCCAATCTTTGAGGTTTGGGTCCTGCGACTTGTATATCCTCACCTAAAACAAGAAGCTATAGTGTCGCATACGTCACTCACAAACAGGTCAGACAGAGAAACCCACGTGGTATCCCCTAGAAGGATTATCATAATGAACATGGTAGAGGAGAGAACTATCCTTTATGAGTACCTATTATCTCCCAAAAGAATTTCACTCTGTTAAAAAGTCGTCCTGTAATGGGAATTCAGCTTAAGTGTAGCCGACCGCACTTTTTTTGCGCAAAATATTTCCTGGATTTCTCGGCAGCCCATAGAGGATATTCCGTGCCTAACTGCTCGAGGAGCGGCATTTGTGACGCGTGTATATTTGGGTCGTTCGCTGAGTAGCATAAGGCTGACGTTAGAGTCCGCGATCCGTCCAAGTTTCGCGCGATTCGCGCGATTCACGCGACGGGTCACAGAAATCACAAGTGCCCGATCAATACTGCAAGGTGTTCTCCAATCCCGCCGCCACTTCTGCTTGATGGTGATGGCTGAATGACGACTGCTCATGATTCCACTTGTTTCATATTCAGTGTTCAATGTTTCAAATGGGC